AACTATTATAATCATTATCAATAATAATAATAATAATAATAATAATAATAATAATAATAATAATAAATATTATTAAGGACAGACTAGTCTGACTGCCAGTTGATGGTATAGACTATCCATTATCTATTATTTGAAGAAAAAACATGAATACACTAGCAATTCAGAATATTTCATGAATGACTTACTAGTTGTAGAGTTTGTAGCTCAGATTTCTTTTTCACTCTGAATTTTTCAGAGGCTTTACGATTCTGTTCACGTCGTCTCTTAAGTTTAACAACCTCATCCGGTCTCAATTTCTAGAATAGTATAAAATTTCACCAACTTTAAAAGGTTTTCACTTTATATTCTTTTCGGGTACAGATTATACAGTATAGTATGAGTGCCTTAAAACATCCAGACCACGTTGATATCATATGGTGACATTGAGACTGACGTATTTTGTCCAGGTTACTTTTAGGTTTACTAACATCATATTTATGTATAGAACTGTTCTAATGGGTTTCGTTTATATACAGCACATACCATTTAAATAAATATACGTATATGTTACGACATGTTGATAGTGAATAATTATATTATTTAATGTCCGTCATTGTATTGGATTGTATTGTATTGAATTGTATTGTGTTGTATTGTGTTGAATTGGGATGTTGTAGCTATTTCGTGTCAGGTCAAGGGCTTATAAGCCTAAACCAGAGCTGTTGTTGTTCATATGTGGATTTTGAAATAAAGAATTTTTCTTCACATGTCGTTTTAGTATTGCATTTTATTTGCTATACATAATATTCGGATAGAATAGTTTGGTTAATATACATAGTAGAAACCGCAAATATAATACATATAAGATTATACATGTAGTATATAATATTGTATCACATAAATTGTTAAGCATACCCTATCTTTTTTGAATTCCTTATTAAACTCGACAACTAATTCATTCTTTCCTTCAGACAGACGCCGTGTCTGTATGTAATATTTGAGCTCTTCTTTCAATAACGGCGTTATTTTGCCTGTACTGTACGACTCCATCTCTGCAAGATGCAGTTTGGTCTCTTCTCGATTGTTATTTGTCCACATTTTACAATGTGACTAGCGTAAAAATTAACAAAAATAATCCTAAATTCAACTGGTAAATTCTGTATGTGTCAGCATTAATTAAACACACGTTCTCCCGCGTTTTCTCGTCCTGACGTTGTTGCATGTGTTATATTCAATTTTATGATGCGTATTCTTACCAGATAGACAGTGGAATGTTTTAATATTTCAATGTGTTATATTATGAAAAGAAACTGTTAAACAAGCTTAAAAAAATATTTTTTAAATCATCACAAAGAAACACATCCATTTTTTTATATAAATATACGTTAAAAACGCGTAAGCAATATAAATAGAGATGACGTTTATATTTAGTTCATCAAGGGAGGTTAGAATAAAATATGCGTCTATTAAAATTTGCAATGTGTTACCTTCCCCTTAGCTTGTCAAACATACTTTAATTTTGTAAGGCGAGAATAGATTTATTTTGGAGGAAGTTTCTCGATAGTACATACTAGTAACCTACCTACCGTAATCTGAGTTATCCCTGGGTTTCGGTATAGTGTTGTAGTTTACCAGTATGCTACTTTCACCAGAGTTTAACCATCACATCGTTCCTAGGCAGGCTGTCAAGCAGTTTACCAGTACAAGTGTCTTCACGTCCGCAAGAAAATAATAACTTCTGTACATGCTACAGTACGAATGACCGTAGAAAAGATTTCATAATCAATTACAGCAAAAGTTGCCTGCACCGTCCGGAAATCGAACACTGGTCTCTCGATGCGTAGTCCAAATCTCTACCTATTGAGCTAACCGGACGGTCCTTTATGTTCCTGTATTATACAGGTCTACAGGATTACACTTGTAATTGAAATGACTAATTACTAATTAAAACAAACATTTGGAGAAACACCTAGAGAGACCGTGGAGTATGCCTAGTCGTTAAACAGGAATCTCATATATTATAAAAGCGTGCCGTTGCACTAAAACAAGACTAACATAAATCGTGTCAGATTTTTAAGATAACACTACTGCATTGTGTGAAAATACTAGATAGGGTAGTGTGTTTCCCAGTCTACAGCACTTGGAGCAATCTTTTAATGATGTTTAATTAGTCTAGTAACTGTTCACATACGATCTTTTAAAATAATTTAAACAAGCTTGTCAAAAAAAAATCACAATACAAAGTATTTTCACAGTGCTAAATATGTATCAAGTATTTTTTTAATAGAAAATGGTTGTATATATGTAGTAAAAAGAATGGCTAAAATTGTCTTCTTTTTTATTTGAAACACGTATGTAATACAAGCTTACGGATTCTCTTTTAAAGTCACGGGGTAACGGTTATAAGAACATTAGCATAAGAAGTACATAAAACAAATGTAGCTTTTTTTCTATTTTATTTCATTTTCTTCATAAAACATATATCATGTTCCAGTGAAATATCACAATATGTGCTTTATACATGTATATACTTACAATAACCTCACCTTAAAACATTTGTCTTGATTTTTATGAAAGCTTTAAAACTGTTTTAATGAGTAATAATTAACTATATTTAACCTTGACTAAGGCACTAACTATCCAAAACGTTTAAATATGCAGAAATGTATTTTACTCAATCATTAAGAAGGTAGAAGATTTTTATATCCCTCACCCTTCTGCAGGTATATGAGATTTTTTTTAAATCCCCCACCCCTCCTGCAGGAATATGACATGTATGTAAGACTAAGATTGTTTCACCTTTTCAAACATTCAATTCACAATAATGGTTCACCTATGTTACAGTTCCAGATATAGCATATCTCAAACTGCAGCAGACACATTCATTACAGCATTTAGTGAAAGAAGAAAATGAGCATTAGATTATCAAACAAACAACAACTAGCCTCTATGTCACACTAACATTATAGTAAAGACTTCTTTTCAATTTTAAGTGAATACCCTAGTTGATGTGGTATCAGACATTACATTCAATACCTTTACCAGAGCACTTTTTAAGTTCACAAATGGATAAAATTCAATAAAAAATTATGCTAAAGTTATTGGTCTTGGATATTAACCATAATACAACAGTGAATACTTTTAGTAGTTCACTGAAAATAAAGTTACACAAAATACTTTAACAAGTAATCACCATGATATTAAATAGGATAGCTTTCCTTCAAATAGTCAAGCTATCAAATGATTATAAAAAAGAAATGTTTCACACAGTATCACAGGATTAATTCATAAAATGTTCTTAATCATATACTAGAACTAATAAAGTTTACTATAGTATTTTAAGATTTAAATCCTGATATGTAAGTTTAATAACAAAATGAAATTTCATCAAGAAATGTCTGTAAAACAAGAAAATGTATACCCAATCCCTACAAATAAAAAAAAAGATGTTACTGCTGTATAAAACAAGAGCTGTCCGTAAGACAGCGCGCTCGACTTTTTTATTGCTTGCCAATAAAAAAAGTTTTTGCAGTAAAAGGCAATACAAGAATCTCTGTATTTTTAAAGTGAACAATGGCCATGAGCAAATCCTTGACAGAGTTACCTTCTCTTGCGTACAGATGGGGGTAATGATGTGAAATAGCATTAAAAGTTTCAAAGCAATATCTCAAAGGGTTAAGGCAATAAGTGGATTTTACCCATATTCAATGTATTTTCTAAGTCAAAAAGGGGCATAATTCTGTCAAAAACCTTGACAGAGTTATGTCCTCTTGTCTGTTGATGAAGGTCGTGATGGTAAACAAGTATGGTCAGTTTCAAAGCAATACCTCCAATGGTTTTGAAAATAAGTGAGGTGGTACAAAAAACTTAACCAAGCTCAATACACTTTCTAAGTCAAAAAAGGGCCATAATTCTGTCAAAAACCTTGACAGAGTTATGTACTCTTGTCTGTAGATGGAGGTTATGATGGTGAACAAGTATGGTAAGTTTCAAAGCCATACTTGTAATACTTCTGAAATAAAGTGGGGTGGTACGAAAAACTTAACCAAGGTGTGACGCCAACGCCGACGCCGACGCCGGGGCGAGTAGGATAGCTCCCCTTTTCATAGAAAAGTCGAGCTAAAACTGAAGTAGTTTTAATGAAATTGTAGTTCTATGAACTGTTATACCTTTTATCACAAAATCTCACAAAATCTATCTGTTGTAGTTTTTTTCAGTAACAATAACATTATATATAGTGAATTTAATACACATATTAACACTACTTTACCATAATGGCAATCTTAACATTTTTGTCCACAAAAAGCATATTTTCTCTTTTCTTAATACATGTTTATTGTGTGTGTGATAAAATAAATATAACAAGAGCTGTCTGTAGGACAGCACGCTCGACTATTCTAAGTGCTTGATAGTAAAAGAGCCTTGATAATGTTAATTTTTTTAAGTTCACAAAAGGGCTATTTTTTTTTATAAATTCATGTTATAGGCCTGAGAGAGAGTCTAATTATACAGAATTGGCTTGACTATTCGGAAGGTAATGTCACAAGGGTTTTTTATTGAGTACAATAATACTAATTACCTATGAATACATAAATTTGACAGAAAAGGTACAAAAGCTTGTTATTAAGATGTTTTATCAAGTAAATCAACTGCTTTATCATTATGAATGCATAAAATTGTCCCAAAAAAGGCACAAACCCTTCAGTAATTATTGAGATAACAGCTTAAAAGCAAAACTTTACCATGAATTTCTAAGTTGAAAAAGGGGAGAAAAATCAGCCTAAATGCAAGATAGAATTATGGATCTTTGTCAGTGACCTACAATTATGACCCTAAATGCATATGTGAAGTTTTAAATAAATATCTTTAATAGTTATTGAGATATGTAAAACTTGCATGTAAACATTAACCAAGAGTCTAAGTAGAAAAGGGGATATGAATCAGCCTTAATGCAAGATAGAGTTATGGAACTTGGTCAGTGACATACAATTATGACCCTCCAATTATGACCCTAAGTGCATGTGTAAAGTTTCAAGTAAATATCTTTGAAGACCTTTAACCAAAATTTCTAAGTTTCAAAGGGGCAAATAATTCTGCAAATATTGCAGACAGAGTTATGCAATTTTGCAAACTGATGTACATTGTTACTATAAATAAGTATTTTAAATTTCAATTGAATATCACAAGCAATAATGAGATATTTGACTTTACAAAAAAACTTTAACCAAAATTTCTAAGTTCCAAAGGGGCATAATTCTGTCAATATGGTAGGCAGAGTTATCCAACTTGTCAATCTAATGTACATTGTTACTATAAATAAGTATTGTAAGTTTCAATTGAATATCTCAAGCAATAATTGAGATATTTGACTTTACAAAAAACTTTAACCAAAATTTCTAAGTTAAAAAGGGGCATAATTCTGTCAATATTGTAGGCAGAGTTATCCAACTTGTCAATCTGATGTACCTTGTTACTATAAATAAGTATTGTAAGTTTCAATTGAATATGTCAAGTAATAATTGAGATATTTGACTTTACAAAAAACTTTAACCAACGCAGACGCGGACGCCGGGGCGACTACAATAGCTCTCATATTCTTCGAATAGTCGAGCTAAAAATTTCAACATTGAACATAAATATTTGTAATGAATTGTATTGAACATCATATCTACTAATTCAAGATGAGTATCAATAAAGCAATCACCGATCAATAGAAAAAAATATTGATAAAAAGTTGAAGAGTGAAACCTTTAATCCTTTGTAAAATCCACAAGAAAAGAAATGCAAAGCAATTAAAAAGTGATATATAATACGACAGGAGTTTAAATTAAATATAAACTTAAATGAAATTAACTAGAATATTTACTAAATGATTATCTTGCAAGCTTAACACATTTAGTGTACGCAGAGTTAATATTATATCTCATAATGTATACCATAATTTTAGTTTAGACAGTCAACACATACATGCAGTGTCACATGCTTAATTTTAGCATCTGATATCATATCTTGAACTATTAACAGATTTATGTATCAAGTTGTTAAACCTTGACAACAAGGGACATTACTGGATACTAAGTTTATCTAATCTGCGAGCAGTTAAGATGTCACATAATACTGGAAGACTCACATTGTGATTTCTCTCCAACAAAAAACCTTAACCAAATCAATCAAATCCTTTCTTTACTTTATGACAACAATGTTTTTAAAGTCAAATTGACATTTCTACATAAATTAAATCACAATTCAATCAATTCCTAGTTTTTTGGCTCCTAGTTTCATTGCACCGCCCTTCCTGGCCTCGCGTTTCTGTGCCAACTCTTGCTGGCGTTGTAACCTTTTTTCCTCACGTTCTCTTTTCTTCCTTTCTGCTTCTGTTTCCCTAGAGGCTGTAAAAATAATTCAAAACCACCATGTACTGTTTACAATCTCAGAGAGTAGAAACTGGCAGGTTGACTCGGGTAAAAATGTCCTAGTTGTATTACTTTTTTTTCAAAATCAATTTTGGTGATGACCATGCATCTTATATTGTAACAGTTCATCCTAATCTCTGATATATAGAAGATGCATGAAAATAGATTGGTTCTTGTACAAAGACAAGGCACACTTGGTATGTAACAAGTCCAACTCACATATACTCTCAAACTAAGTAATGTGGACCCAAAAGCAAACTATGAAACACCCAAATTGTCTATTACTAGATGTGCCAGTTGTTACATATTATCAAAAGAATCCCTAACTTCGAACACATGTAATTATGCATCATCATGTCTCAAAGGAATATTTTCTTTAACTTTAAGCATAAAAACAATGAAAAACTATTCAGTATTGACCTTTGATCAGCAACTAAATAATGCTATCACAGCTTAAAATGTAAAGAGGCAAGATGTGTTTAGTTTATTGCACTGAACTGCTTAGATTTAATTAAACAAGAACATGGCAATGCCATGAAACCAGGTTTTCAATTATCACCATTGTAGATAAATATGTTGTATTTGAAATACAAATACAAGCAACAAACAATGTAGCTATGTGCAATGTAAAACATGAATAATGTAGGAGGAATTGCCACAGAGGAAGTGTTCATTCTGTATAAGGAAAAAAACAAAGGGCCATAATTAAATAAAAAATTATTCAATCACAAAACCCCGACAATATGCGCCAGGGCACTGGATGACAAAGCTACTGTGAAAGTTTGAACAAAATCCGTTGAGAAATGTAGGAGTTCAGCAAAGAAGAATTTTTTCACTATATATTCTGTATAAGGAAAAATAACAAAGGGCCATAATTAGGTCAAATATTATCCAATCACAAAACCCCAACAATATGCGCCAGGGCACTTGATAACAAAGCTTCTGTGAAAGTTTGGTCAAAATCTGTTGAGAAATGTAGGAGAAGTTGGGCACAGAAGAAATTATTCACTATATATTCTAAATAAGGAAAAAAAACAAAGGGCCATAATTAGGTCAAATATTATCCAATCACAAAACTCCGACAATATGCTCCAGGTCACTTGATGACAAAGCTTCTGTGAAAGTTTGGTCAAAATCCGTTGAAAAATGTAGGAGGAGTTGCGCACAGAAGAAATTGTTTACGCCCGCCCGCCGACATACCTCAATCTAATAACCAGTTTTTTCCTGGTTAACAATAATATTTTATAACAATTTAGAGGTTCTCTTTCCTATTTCCACATGCATTACATACCAGATAGATTGTCCCAGCTATCATCTTCCCAGCCACTTGCATCGCCCCACCCTGATTCTTCAGTGCCGCCTCCTTTGTCCTGCATACCAGACTGTGAACCAGTCACTTTCTGGTTGGAGGGCGTGGTCTCCCTGGAAGGTGTAGACCTTGAAGAGCTGCTACTTGATGTTGTTTGAGGTTTCTTTGATTTACTGACCTACAGTAGATAATTCATCATCTTCTGTTCATTATGATCAACACTTACAACACTAAATAACTTCAACAGATTTGTCCAGCCCTTTATCTGGACAAAGTCATTCATCAATTTTAGGAAAAATATCACATAAAATGAATTGAATGAACACCAAGTGATACATATATTAACCATATATCTTTTTCATTTGTGAACCCCAAGGTCCTCATTTCGTACATTAAGGTTGTGTTAATAAAAAAGCCTGAATAATGACATACAAACAATGTATTTAAGAACTGTCTTGTCTATGTCTTTCAGGATACTCGTCTTTACCTTTCATAAAATTTCACTATGTGGAACATTAAATAATCAAACAAAACTGTTCAAGTAAAATAAGATACTCTCCAACTTTGCCAAATTCATTTTTATGATAAAGAAACTCAAATTTTCAAAAGCTTGTTTATGAATTTTACTAACCTTAGAACCTGAATCTATCATAGAAAAGAAATCACCCCCTAGTGCATCACTTCCCGGGTTGCCCCAGTCATATGAACTTGCTGGTTTAACACTGCTGTCTTCTATAGGTGCAAACTCTTCTTCTATCCAACCGAAATCATCAGCTGGTGGGGCGGCCTTTTTGATGCCACCAAGTTTTAAAGCTCCTTTCACTGGTTTATTAGACACAGCACTAGCATTTTCAAATGTTGTCATATCATCATCTTCCCAACCCCAATCACTACCTGATTGTTTACTCTGTTTATGATTCACCTTTGATTCACTGTTTGTTTTATTAATTCCAAATGAATCTTGCACTCTGTTTATATTCCTAGCATTTGACTGTAATAGATAATTAAAATATCTACCTTCATATAAAGTACCAAATATAAATGCATAACAATTATATCTATTATTGCATCTCTGTGTAATCTAACAGTTTTATAACAGATCAAAATTAAGATAGAAATGAAGAAATACAACACGTTTTATAACAGGCACAGAACCTATGTTTTAACCACCTTAGAAAGAAAATATTTTCAAGAAGTTTTCATAATCAGAAATAAGATATGTATAAGCTTCACAGCTTTCAGCTAACTCCAACACAGACAGAAATGAAAACTTTAAACTGATTTTATTTATGTATTACAACCTCAAACAAACAGTAAGCATAAATACTATTGTGATACAGAGAAATATGGTTGTTAACTCTGTAGGTATCAAACCCATGAACCTTCCATTGAGAGATAAAAATGTGAAATGCTAGGCCACCACTAACATTTTGGATGTTTTTAAACAAATATCTATCACACAAAATACAATTACCATTACTTGTTTCATTTTATCACATACCCCTGCCGCTTTTCCGACTCTGTAAAGATGTACAGTAGTATTGCACAACCGTGCATATATTTTGACCTGACATAATTTGCATTAAACAAATATAGCACAAACACATACTGAATGTTAATGTTTCACTATAAGTGTGTCAATGTAACACCAACTCTACAATAGCATTACTATAGTCTGTCCCACCAAATTTGAATATTCCATTTTTTATTAAATATAATAGTAAAATAATTTAAATTAATGTCATATACTGTCGTATTTTAAATTCCTTTTAAGAGAAAAAGAGCAATAAAGTGATTTGATTAGATAGCTTTTCAATCAAGCGCGTATCTTAATACAGCAAGGCGTCGTATGGAAACGGGAACACCAGCTAGAAGACTAAAATAATGGTTCTTCGCTAATGTTTAATTTACATAGTTTTGTAGTTGTCTGAATTCTGTTCATTAGTATGTATCACGTCTATTTAAAAATAATTAAATTAACCAGGTCCGATGGGATACAAAAATATGTTACCTTTGTTATTTAGGGTGCGATGTTCGTGCGCTAAAACTTTTCGCAGGTTTTAACTTTCACAACAGAAAACCTTGCGTTAGAAATCGCCAACAAATACTACACTATCATGCAAATCTGACAAGAAATATACAGAAAGGGGAACTGATTCACTATATGTTCAGTATTGGTTTGCACAGTGTCTACTTTAACTAGCTTATTCGCTAATGAGAGAACACAGACTCGCGTGCGAGGAAAAATGTGAATAATAAGAATTTAATCATGCTTTCTAGTTTGAGCAACCAAACGTGGGCCTATACACTTTAAGCTCTTAAACACAGCTTTAATTTTCCGTCAAAATGTCCCGAAATACCGGCAGTGATTTGATATTATTAAGAATAAGTTTGAATTGGGGCATTCAATAAGGGACAATAAGTGTTTTTCTTTTTCTTTTTTTTTTGTAGTGTATGTTAATATGAAGGGGAGATCGAGTCAAAGAGAAACACAGAGTGATGTCCTCAATAATTTTAGCCTTCCTAAAATTTGAAAATGCTCAGTGAAAAAACAATAGCTCTATATTTTTCGCGGGAGAAAAAAATACCGCATATGGTATATTTTGTAGCTAAAAGAGTAGGAGTTACAGAAGTCTTGAATAACGAGATAATATGTAGGGAAATCATTTCTGAGAAATATATAAAATAGTTTAAAAACATGAAATCAAAACGAAGGTTATTATAATGTGAATTAATGGAAGAAGTATAGTACTGTCATAGATTCATGTCATTAAGTGTGTTTAAAATTATCTAAGTCAAATTTATATCAATGCTTAAAATTATCTGTATGAGGTTACATATGCCTAACGGATTATGAGACGGATTAACAGCTTAAAAAAAATCTGGATCATCATAAATAAGTGTAGGAGTCATGCCATTCAAGAGTTTCAAAGAAACAAAATTGGATCTATGGAACTGGATAGAAACTGGCAAGGAATATTCAGAATGAGAATTTGTCGTGACATTTATAAAGATCTATTTCGAAATTCATAAGGATTCTATTCAGCTTAAAAGTAAGTGCAATTTCTAAATCAACTCCATGTGACTCGGTGTTCTTGTTGCTTATTATTCATTTTTTTAAGTTTTTCATCATGCATTGCAACAAAACTGTTACATCTTGTAGATCCAGCTTTATAAAATGATCATGAAACGACCCCGAGAACATCATGTATATTTTAGAAACATGACACAAGCTTTCTCCCGTTCATCTTCAAATGAAGAGTACTTCGGCAATGGCTACAGAAAATAAACAACAGAGACTTGCCGTAGAGAAATGAAACTTTGCTTTTACAAGAAAAGTAGACACTTTAGAGAAAAATTCTAAAAAATCTCGGGGGTGACATTTTTTTAGTTTACAAAAAAGTTTTACTTTTTATTCAACGTCGTTTTGTCAATTCATACCAGGCAAATGTTCATTTCCATTTTTAATGGGACAGACTATAGACAAGTTTTATATAAGTCTACATTAAACTAATGTAAGATTCTTTATATTGCATTATTTGATTACTGCTATGTATGATTTCACAACTATTTGGATAACTGTAGATACAATTTATGACAACTGTATCATGAAGTCTATTCTTTCAATCAGTGTCTAGAGAGAGTATGTAAACCTGTGGTCACAAGTTCCAATTCAATGTTTGCAGGATTTTAAATGATGCATTCACGTCTTTCTGTTACAAACTTGAGATGCTTGTAAAAGTATGACATTTATGTTATTTTTTCATTAAAGCGGCATTCAGCTTTTATTTTCTCTGGAAAAACAATTCTGTGTTGTTTCAAATGAAGTATTTCAGTGTTTTCATCTTGTAAAAGTGCATCATATCATTGTGAGCTTTCTTCAAAACAATGTCTTGATAGTATTTTAATGTCAGTGACGTTTGTTTTTCTAAAAATAGAAGATTGGCAAACAAATCAGCTGCTTTACTAATTTAAATATTTAAATATACTGTAGTGCGGATCGGTAGATTAGAGATTTTGTTTATGTATTTTATCATCAGCAAATTTCATTTCCACCTTAATTCTTTTGATTTGAAAATTATATGAAATGATAAATCTAAACATAACATTTTTAATCTTAAGAAAAACTGCAGACCACTTTAAAAGAATCAATATTATTATATTACGTTACAACAGCATGTTACCATGGCAATAATACAAACCGATTGTGTAGTTGTCTCCTCTATAGAACCCCAATTATCATCATCATCATCCCAACCATCATCATTATCACCTCTATCATCATCATCATTATTATCATAGGATTGAGTATTACTGCGGGATACACTTTCATTCCTTGGTGCTGGAGTCTGTAAAAATACCAAGTAAAATATTTGAATAACACTTTCCTTTCTAATTCTCTGTAACCAACTTAACATTTCAAAAGAAACTGCAAGTATTCAAAATTAAGAAATTTAAAACCAAACCGTAACAAAATGTAAACTACCGTATGTAAATTTCAAACAAAAATTTTAATTCAAGTCATATTTTGGGGCCCAAATTTTAATTAAACCCCCCATAGAAGCAAACATATAGATTTTTGGCAAAAATATGCCCAAAATATGAATAGGAATGCAAAAAAAACAACTTTTTCCAAAGGTATAATCTAGCAGAGAGTTTTAAAATCGGGCTCCTTTTTTAAAAAAACTAGTCGGGTATATACACCCCCACAAAAATTTAAATTTAAAATCAAAAAAAATTTTGGGCAAAAATCTCAAAAATAAATTTCACCCCAGTAAACATTTTTCATCCCCCCAAACCCTCTTCAATTTGGGTTCTTCATCCTCATAAATTATCTTTATCTTGGGCCCCAAGCGGGTGATGTTTTTGGGAACTTTTCTACTTTAGATTCACGTGGGGGTTTTGAATCATCGGGGCTGAACTTTCATCTTTTGGTCCACCAAAAAAAATATAAAGTATTTTAAAAAATTAACAAAATTTTTTTAATCTTCCCTGCAGCTTTTTTTAAAAAAAGTACTTGAAATATTTTTTAAAAATAGCCCTGTTTTTCAATTTAAAACCCATACTTTTTTTTCCAAAATTTTTTAAAAGTGAAAAAAATTTTTTGTTTTCATTAAGCAATTATATTTTAAAGGGACCCTTTTTTGTTAATTTTTTCAAGATAATTTTTTTTAAAACACACAAAAATTTTTTTAAAAAGTCTTAAAACTAAATTTTCCCCTTTTCGTTTTTTTCCATTTAGTTAAACCCCCTTTTCTTATCTAGTGAAAATTCAATATTAAATTTTCACTTCATTGTAAACAAAAAACTACTCCCCTTTAAAATTTCTTGGTAGCTTTACAAATTAAACTTTAAAAAGGGGGTGTAAAACCCAAACCCTTTTGGGCCCTTTCCTCCCCCACCCACCCCAATTTTGTATTTTAACTGCCCCCTTTCCGGGGATAACCCACTTTCTTCTCAAAAAAAACCAACAAAAAAAATTAAAAATTGTTTTTAAATTTTTTTATAATAATACTTTTTATAAAAAATTTAATCTTCAGGTTTTGTTTAATGAAATTGTTTTCCTTACTTTGGGGGAAATTTTTTTTGAAAATATTGTCAAAGGGAAAAAAATATGTTACTCTACAATAAACTAATGTTTTTGGGATGTGCAGCTGATTTGGCTTTTATTTTTCCTTTATCACGCGTGTTAGATTCATTTTTTTAAATTTGGGCAATGCGTCTTTCTTGTTTTGGAAAAGGGTTAAAGGTTTTCTAATTCAACAGGATTTAAACCCCAGTTACTTACAAAGGGAGACAAATGATTAATTATTACTAGTTATATGCAATAATTTAAAACCATGTTGATGAAAACACTATCAATTTCTAATTGCTGAATTCTACCTTTCATATTTTAGTATTCTTATCAATTATACACACATTATCATAAACAGGGTCTCCAAGTCTATTTTTACAATATTCAAGCCTCACGTCAAATTTGTTTATTCTTTAGAATTATCGTTATAACTTAAAGGCAAGTTACATATCATTTTTGTGATTTGTAAAAATTACACACAAAATGTAGATATATGGTATTATAAGTTACCAATTTAATCAGTAATCAAATTGTATTAATTAATAAATGAACTTGAACTTATTAATATCATTTCTTAATAAGTCAATTTGATTACTTGCAGAACAGGGTTTAATCCTAACATCAATTTAGGTTTACAACAATCATTAACATAATACATTAACACTTCTTTCAAATATATACCAGCTTATAGTAAGCATACCTAGCTCTTGTAACATATCTGGATTTTCTGATAGTTTCTCTAACCTCTCTAGATAACTTTTTATAGTTTTGAAAGCCTGAAATAAAAATGTCATAACAGAATAATTGTGATTGTAGGGACAATATCTTTAAACATAAATAAATATAGTATAACTAATCAATATAACTATTGCATGCACTTTTACAATCCTAAGTTCATATTTTCTACCAAGCTATTTCAAATCTATGTATGATAGATAAAAAATAAATGAAAATTCATAACAGTATCATCTTTGACCAATATACAACATTCAAATAGACCATAAAAAGTTTCACAACTTTATTGGACAATTCAACATTTTCTTTAATATCTAAATAAGAAAAGTTCTTAGAATAAAGTGTAAATAAAAGTTATCATTAATATTATCACACCTGATCTCTGACAAGTTTCTCTGGGTCCATGGTCATCATACAGAGTGAGGGCATCAATTTCTGTGCTATATCTGCCATAGTGAATAAATGCTGGGTCACACCCATACCTATAATACCAGCTTGACGTGCTGGCGGGAACGGATCTTTAACAGCACGTAGAAATGCTGAACATAAAACACGCTGTCTTAACTGAAAAATATCATATAGTAACATATACATACTGTACTATATACCTTAGCATCCTTTACTTTTTTGGTGGGGTTTTACGTCACACCAACACAGTAAAAATCAAATGAAAACTTTCTAGCTTTACTGGTGGTACACCTTTGTGCATTATTTCAGGCACAAATGGTCACCAGAGAAGAAACAACAAAATTCCGTAAGCTAGCTGGATAGCTTACTCACATGAAAAAATTTGAAGCTTACCTTTTAACTGTAATAACCAACATGTTTGCAACAATCTATTTTAATAAGCTGTAGGTGATTTTTGGTCAGCGTCATACTTTAAAATAATAATGATAGAAACACACATTGACTTTGTCTTATCAAAAAAGCAAACCCTTGACTAATTTGATATTACAGATACAAATATGAAAGACAAATGAATGTGCCATTGACTTTTTTTTATCAAATTAACATAACCAAAGCAAAAAGATGAAATGAATGAAATCCAAGATAAACTGAAGAGATTTAACATACCTGAGGGTTCAGATAGGAACCAATTTTACCAAGACATACAGTTGTATTTGTTCTTATACCACCCTGTAAATATCAACAACTTCATACATTAAACTTATATATTCAAACAAAATTTTCATTTTCCCCAGTGTAATGCTGATTGGTTAACAGTATTGATGACATAATCAGCTAGTTACCTCACTTTAGCACTGCAGGTTAATTCTGGTATGATACAAATTACACATGCTATACACATGAAGGCTTGACCCATACCTATTATAACTGATAAAATTTTGGAACACATTCTTATTTCTTACTGCTACAGGTAAAATTGAAATAAAGAAGTACTGATAAACTCATAAAAATAAACAAACATGTCTCAATCAGGAGAGGATAGGTATCTATGCAATAACATGAGAAGTTCAGTTTGAGCTGTCCTATATTTGAACATTAACCATTTACCTATTGGAACTGAATATGATTAGCCTATGTCACCAGTACAGAGCCTTGACAGCCCCTGCACATCCATGCAGCCGGGCAAGTCTTTGTACTGTGAGAAGTTCAATTTTTTTTATTTTGATATTTAAATCTGTCACACTTCAAATGGACTGATCCAATTTCAACACTGGGTGAATCCATTTTTACAAATTTAGTCGTTTGAGGTTTTGTATTGTGTCATACACATTTTTATTGTAATTCAACCCCTTTATTTACTGACAACTGTAAAATTTTCTCCTGTAACACACTGTGCTGTGTTTCGTGTAGCCATGTCTTATTTGATCAAAAGTTATCTGCCGATTCAATTATGTTTACTATATCAAATATTGTACAAATTTAGTATACCTGATCATCTTTGGCTTGTAATCTGGCAAAATGTTTCATTAATTCTTCATTCAAATTTTTGTAGTTTAATTTCGGTGCTAAGTGTAACATAGCCTGAAAACCAAAAAAATTATAAAATACAGAACAAAAGAAACCTTAAATGATAATTTGAAACAAAGATACCATGTTTCCGTTTATATCTAAATAACACTTTATGTATTGGTAATTGTTAATTATTTGATTAAGACAAATTTCATCAAAGCGCAGTTTCTTATAATACTAAAAACATAGATAACCAATATAAAAACAAAAATGTTTACTTGAGACAAGTCCTCATAAGATAAAGCCTAAAAAGATCCTTGAAAATAGGGCATAAATAAAGGCATTAAATCTTAATACAATATATACTATAATACCAATATGATTACCTTTATTGTACTCTCCCTGACTACTGGGTTTGTATCCATAAAACCAGTTACAATACTCGGAAATATTTTATCATTCACAGTTCCTGCATGTAAATGTTCCACAAACATTTCAATCTGAAAAATAATAACACAAATCTTAATAATTGGTAAAATGTAACACTGAATGTTTCCTGTCAGTCTTAGTTTTATTTCTTTCTATAAAAATATGACTAAAGACTGTAGTTGTTAAGTTATTCATTTACATATATTATATTGTTTTAATGTTAAAAAATAATGAAGAACTGATTATATTAGACACTCACTTGCTGCAGGAGTTTCACCCTTGTATTTCTATCAGTAGATGAAAACAGTTTTACAACACAAGGTACAATCTTAGCTTGGTACTCCTCATGGTCAAGTAATCTTCCTACCTGTAATACATATATACCTGTATACTGTAATATCAGCAATAAAAATTATTTTACTTACCCAATTTGATATTTGAACTAGGTGAATATCCTCAACACTGCATGTAATAATTAAATAGTAAACATGAAAATTCAGTTAAGAATAATTTACGCAAAGAGTAACATACATTTATTTCTTGTGTTTAAAACAGCAATAATAAGGAGGATATCATAAGATCTTTTTCATAATATTTTTTGCAGTAAATCATATCCTTTATTCAACATTTGTAGCATTATACTACTACAGGTTATTTAAATTGTTTTTGTTGTTGATGTTTTTAAATTAGAAGTTTAAATAGAATATATAGTTTACCTTAAACAGTGGTGCTAGAACCATAGATCCACAGTTACCAAATTCATAGGCATGTAATAACTGAGGCAAAACTTTGTGTCTACTCAACTGGGTAGGGAATGAATCTATAGCTTCTGTAAGCTTTGCAAAAAAGCTTGATTTTTCTGATGGTTCTTTTATCTGGAAATTAACAATTATACATATCATTTATCAATTGAACTTTTTTTTACTATGAATCATAAAAATGACAACACAACTTCAAGAAATAAGTAAAATAATTTAATAATCATTTGAATCATGTTGTATGATTATATGTAGAAATCTTCTATTTTACATGTTTTTATAACTAATATACTTCAGTATGTGAATGACATTACTTTTAAGCTATGACATTCAATTTTAAAAACTCCAAATCTACATATTGGATTAATCTATAGAATTCCTTAATATATTTCTTAAAAACAACAAATTCCAAAACACCAGACAAAAATAATACAAACATCATATTTTCTTTTCAGATTACAAGAATTTGTTAATTAACAAATTCTAGGCCAACAGAGATACAAGTAACATGCCATAAAACATGAAATAACTTCCTGCCGACAAAGAATCTTTCTTGATACAGTAGTGTACATCTTACCTGGATTTCTTCAAGAAAGAGCATGGTTTTCACAAATGGGTTATTCATAAATCCTCCTTTTCTACAACAATCAGAGATAAACTTGGCAGGATTCGGACGGGAAGATGGATTAGCACTAACTAGTTCACAGTAGTTTGGCACCAGATTCTTGGGAATCTAAAAAAATAATTGAAATATTTTAGTACATGAAGAACGTACAAAATATTTATCAAAATAATCAAAATTTGCCATATGACCACTGACATGGGAAAACGGCCCTTAATGTCATTTACTTTTTTTTAACTGACATACTGAATTCTATAGAAATTCAATTCTATAGCTCTTGAAATAAACAACAAAAACTCTTGAAATTTGCTTATTGTTATCTATTGTTTTTATCTTTAATATTTCTCTGGTAATAAACCTTTTTATTTTTAACATCAATGCCAATAGTTATGTCTTTTGACATCATTTGTATAATGACATTAATGGTCCTTTTCTCATGCCGTCGTTCATATGCTGTGTCAATGTAGTGATCATGGTAAAGCGTATAGCTAAGTTATTTAAAACGTTAAAGGTCAAACAAATTGTTACATAAAGTTTATTAAAAAATCAATACCATTTTTCAACTTAAGCAATATAACAGCAGATTCAGTTAAAAATCCTACAATTAAATATAGCACAAAATTATTGTATTTACCTTTCCAAAAGCTTTCAGTGCAGATGTTCTTGGTAAAGGCCCATTGAAGACTTCCCATATCAAACAACCTAGACCCCACATATCTGATGACCTTAAAATATTAAAGTATAACAATGTAATATCCTACATCACTTACACAACTAAAATATCTTATCAGTTTCCTATATAAACCTTCAACAATAAAAGTTAAGAATACTGAATATCAATAAATATTGTACTTAACCAATATACTTAACCAATTAAGCTGGACATTTGTGTTCTGTGTTGCTAAAGTTACTTTATATTCATTTCTTTACTTATAATTTAACAAACCAATTATGCCTTCTGTTGTTTTGTTTGTTTGTTTCTCAACAACACTGTCACTTTACCATTTTTCTCCTTTTATTCCCCTCTTTAGATCTGACTTTTCCGGAGGGTCATATCTCTCTAGGAAAGGTAGTATTTTGACAGGTGGAACACTCTCGGCACCGGTAGCTGGGTACATATAGTCAACACCTGCAAGCTTCCATTCACCAGCTTGATCCACAAATATTGATGACATACACACATTGTTGTGTATTAAGTTACAGTCATTCACTAAAAATGACAATCCTTTCTGAAAACAAAGACATATATATGATGTGTTAATATTTTTATATATTCTATTTACTGTGATATTATGCTCATTATTTCATTGTTGTATTGGATTAGATATATTTTTCAAATGATAGACTATTCTAATTGAGATTAATTAATAATGGATAATTAGAAATGTTAAGAATAAAATATAAAACTGCCTAAATTATAAATAGACTGTCCAATCTTTTTACACATGAGTGTAACCGATATGTAAAGGTCATATTGTGAATTAACAGCTTAACCAATGGAGGGAAACCATCAGGCACCTCTCCATTCATTATATAAGACACAGGAGAGAACCTCAATACCTCCTTCCAAAACCAACTACAGAGGTAAGCTACCTAACAATAAAGAATCCAAAGTCCCAAAGAAGGATTCAAACATAAAATGGTAAAGGACACATGATTTGTAGTCAGCAACTTTTACCATTTAGCCACAGAGACTCCTAATCCATATTTGAGCCGCATCATGACAAAACCAACATAATGGGTTTGCGACCAGCATGGATCCAGACCAGCCTGGGCATCCGCGCAGTCTGATTAGGATCCATGCTGTTCGCTTACAAACCCTATTACAAGTAGAGAAACTGATAGCGAACAGCATGGATCCTGATCAGACTGCGCGGATGCGCAGGCTGGTCTGGATCCATGCTGGTCATAAAACCCACTATGTTGGTTTTGTCATGACACAGCTCATTTACAGCTAGATCATAAACAAATTTAGTAGAGTGATAGTATAGAGATAATTTTCAGATAATACATACAGTAACTTTATGAAGCCCCCATGATATAGAAAGTTGATTTTTCCTCTGTTCAGCATCATTGTTCTCTATGTATGTAGACAGTGGAGTTACTGGCTCAGTCGCTATATAAATCACTTTATCTGTCTGATAAAATAAACATATTCAAACAATTAATATCTTACTTTTTTAATAAACATCTTAGGACAAAAAACAACAAGACAAATAAATGACATCTACTGTCACTGTCAGTAAGGTTCCAGCATAATCATGCTTTCAACAAGTACAATTTTGAAATTTAGAAACACTAATGAAAACTCACAAGACCTTTCAGAAAATAAAAGTTGTGTCTATTATCTTTTTGTGCTAAATCTTAGATACCAAAAAAGTTCTTTTATCATGATCACACACAGTGATTGTACCAAACTTTTCAGACATGATCTTGGTAAATTTAATTGACAGGTTTTTTCTATGATTATACCAAAATCTATTGATA